CTCCCTCTCCTTCTCTCTCCCTCTCCCTCCCCCCCTCTCATCTTTCTCTCTAGTGTCAGGTTTTGGAAAGATGCCCTAATTAATTCATGAGCCTAAAGCCAAGTTTCAAAAAAAAATCCATTCATTTATTAGAAACACCAGTTTGGCAATACCCCTTTGCAGTCAGATCTAACTTCATTTAAATTATGGCTGAATTTTGCCCCTGTTTCTTCCCTCCCCTCAGTCTGTGTCATAAATCACATTCACCAATGAGGTGCACACCTCACAAGCCTGCTGTAGTAATCTGAGATCCGACTCTAGCCGAAGGTATGCGTGGAATGAGCTCCCCCCTCCTTTCCTCACCATGGCAATTTTATGAGTTGACAGATAAGAGATTTCAGGACCTCACTCAGTCAGAAACTTTCTGGTTGAGTTTATACAATATTCTAAACCAACCCTATGTTAATCCAACCCAATTGTCCTGTTTACATAGCATGCTGGGCCCAAATAAACCATGGCTTAAGGAGATGGTCTGGTTCACTCACATAGCTCAGAACCTAGAATACACTGAACTCTAAATTACCCCATTCCATTTTAATTTAGCTTAGTGCACTTTCCCCCCTTGTCTTGCAGGATAAACAAAACAGCTCCTTGCTGAGTGGTGACATCTTAGGAGCCAGTCTTGGGAACATGAGTGTCACCAACCTTCGTGAACCTGTGGAAATCAGGTTTTGGCATAATCATTCATTGGTGAGTAGTGATGCCGCCATGGGGATCATCCCTTAATAGGTCTTAGCGCTCTGGTAGAATGAAAACCAACTCTCCCCAAAAGAGAGCAGATGTTAAGGGCATGTGGGAAGAAACCTCAGAGAGGAAGAGGAAGAAGAAATAAGAAAGGAGAGGAGGAAATAGGAAAGTAGAGAAGAAGGGTGGGCAAGAGAAAGAAAGAGGGAAGTAGAAGTAGGGTTGTTGTAATATAAGAGAGATGTAGAGGATGGCAGGAAAGCAAGGTCGAATATAGTATTATTGTTAGGCCTGCATTTATATTCCTTTTAGAATTTTGGCCTGCCACACTTTCTCTTATTTCATTATGCTGTTTCTTTAAGTGTAGTTGATGGGGGAATAGAAGGAGTAGGATTTTGGAATATATTGTTTTTCATTCTTTACTAGAAGCAAGGTCATCCTTTGTCTCCACACCAGTACACCTGACCGGAAGAGGTTAGGCGTAGACGCCAGCGTGGAAGAAGAAGATAGGACCATGTGATGGACTGTGGGTGTGGGGGCAAGATGATGAACTTTTAATTGGGTGGGATTCTGATGTAACTTCCAGAGTTGGAATCCCACCCAGTTAAAAGTTCATCATCTTGTCCCCACGCCCACAAAGGATGACCTTGGCTTCTAGTAAAGAATGAAAAACAATACATTCCACAATCCTACTCCTTCTATTCCTACCTCCCATTGACTACACTTAAAAAAACAGCATAATGAAATAAGAGAAAGTGTGGCAGGCCAAAATTCTAAAAGGAATATAAATGCAGGCCTGACAGGATTCTACATGGTATTTGGAACGCTAACAATTATATCTTTAGGGAAAGAATGGAAGCATGCATGTTAAAGGATAATATATAACACTAATGATATTTATGAGAAATGTATATTTGTGAATGTACAAGAAACCAAAATTAAAAAGAAAACCTTTTCTTTAAAAAATGAAACCTCATTGCATCAGATTTAGATGTTTAGATGTTTAGATGTTTATTAACATTTGTA